TGAATTAGGAGTTCAACTGCAACAACAAGAGCATGTGTTTCTGTTAAGAATGATTTGCATACTTGGTCAAAATCATTTTTAAATTCTGAAAAATAATATCCAAGAAAAGAAAAGCCCTTAGTTAGAGCATGCTCTACGTTTCTTGCTTGTTTCATTTGCTTTAATTTGTGTTCTTCCCATGACTAAGTTAATTTTTTTCCTTTCAAATATCAACAACCACACATTCACTTTGCCTGGACCTGGGTTTTATTTATCTGCAACACTAAGGATTATTACAGCTTCACAGCAAGACTATGCTAAGAAAGCAAGCAAACCTGAAACACCATGCTGGCATGACTCGGGGAGTCTAAGAGCAAGTGGTGAGATCTTTAAGATCACCATTTGCTAAATCATAAAATGTGTGTCACCTTCATAATGAAGGAGAAAGTGTTAAACAGCACAGCTCCCCAAACCAATTGCAACACACACACAGTGTATGTGTGTGTGTGTGCGCGCGCGCGTGCGTGCGTGCGTGCATGCGTGCGTGTGTGTTTACAAAATCTTGGATCCTACTATACTGAAAAGCATTTTCATTTCAAAGGTTCCCTGAATACAGGGAATCTAGAATCTAGAAAATGTGTGATTGTATTGCGTGGACAGTGTGAGCTAGAGGGCAGCAGCCATGCCACATCTGTGTGAGCTTCTGAGTATTTCAGCATCTCAGGTTCTCTCCAAGACTATTGAATCTGAATCTTCCTTCCCAGCTCCATGGGCTGACTTATGTAAACACTACTGTCTGAGAAACCAGAGCCTGAATCCTCCCACTGAGGAAAGGCCTCTGTCAGTTTTTACTGTATTTCTAGTATCCTTTCTTTTCATGTCCATCTTTCTATTTAAATCTTGAAAGTCTAGGTGTGTTAATTTTCTGATTCATATATTATACTTTTAAGAAGGGGCTGATCATGTTTTTTTTGTTCTAATGAAGAGTATTTGTTTTATGTAGCAAATATAGTTAATGTGAAGTGCATCTTCCTCTTAAATTTAAGGAATTTGGAGTTTGCATCTTAAGTTACTAATAGTTTTATTTGCTGCTTATATCCTATTTTGTCCCATATATGCAGCTGCAGCCAAATTCTATTGTTTGTAGCTTCCTTCTTTCCCAAATATTCAGCTTAGCTTAAATTTTTGCTGAGGAGATAGTTAAATAAGAAGAATTTACTAGTACTTAACTAGTGCTTTCTATTACAGGAATCATGTCAACCAATTTTTATTATATAATTCATATATTATTAAATATAAATAATTGCGATCTTAATCCTAAAAAAAAAGTATTGATTCTTACTATTTCATAGATTAAGAAGTCATGCCCATAAAAGTTTAAGCAATTTTCCTGGTATTATACAGTTTATAAGTGCAAGTCCAAGTTTTAAAGTAAAAAGCAAAAAAATTACACATTTTTTTAAGTGTTGTATAACTTTGCATAGGGAGATGTAAATAAACATCTGTTCATATATGGTACCAACTATAAACCAAGGAAATCATTCTACCCATGTCTAGCTTGGTGAACCAGTGAATCTAACTGGGTTACTTATAGTGTAGGTGTGGGGCTATACACAAGTGTGGGGTCAAATGTAGGCAACCAAAGAAGACTTTCCACACCCCAGTGACTGCTAATTGCCTATCCTCAGTGATGGGGTTCAGGCTCCTGTGCTGCCTTGTGTATAGCACTCTAAGCCTTCCATAAGTGGGCCCAATCTGAGATTCTCATGTGGGTAACCACAGTTGCTTGGGCTTCAAGAAGGTAGTGTCCATGTATCCATACATGGAGAACAAAGTTCCACAAGAGGCTTTCCTTATCCTTTTCTTCAAATAACACTTCTCTCATAGCACTGTTAATATTACTCCTTTTACATCAGCAAGCAGATGGAATTCCATTCATTGCATTACTCCCTAAATTTGTATGGAAAGTAAGCATTTCTCTAGATACGGTGGCAAGTACATAGAAATAGCAGACTTGGCAGTCCTAAGGCCACAGGTTAACTGTATGCAGCAGCAACAACCTCTATTATCCCACAGAAATCCATTATACTAGGGGGGTACAGGAAAAATACATCAGTTGGAATGTAGGAAAGCAGGAGATTACAGACAAGTAGGAGAGGAAGTTGGAAAGAACAACATGGTACCAGATTAGCTTCAGAAATATAAATATGCCTTAAAACACATAGAAATGGATAGATATTTAGGTATGCCTGTGTTAGTATACAAATGTAAATTCTCTAGTTCTGCTCACTGGGAGGGCCTGGAAGAAATAATACCTCAGTAGTGATGAAGAACACTCATAATCCCAATTTTCATGCCTTATACCATTGTCAGAAAATTGAAGGGTGGCTTCTTGGAGAAATGACTATTAAACCCACAGAGGAAGAGAAAAAGCAGGATAAAAACATAACACTTTATGGTGATGGAGAACAGTGCTGTGCTTTACAATAACAGGAAGAGAGACTGTCACCAACATGAAAGAACCTCTTGTGGCAAAAGCCCCAACTGTTTGGACGACAATGCAAATGGCACAGAATTAGATCACAATGCAAAGGACTTAGTAAACACCTGTGAGTCCATCATTCTGCTATAAACAAGTGACTGACTGAACAGAAAAATAAATAAGGGCAATGCATAAGTGTCCTACACAACTCCAATGCTTTATACAGATAGGCCCTGTGCAAAGAGGTGGAGCTTAACCCCTCCTGCCCCCCCTCCCCCGTGGTGGGCTGCATTTTGTGTCTCGCTAGTGGAGGGAGGGAAGGAATTGTGAGGTAGAGCTTAGGCACCTGGCAAATACAACTTCGCCTAAGTGACCAAGGTGACATTATCAGTACGTAAGAAGCCATGTTGACAGTGTGCCCCAGATACATGTGATGAAATTGGTACTTTACAGACTTCCTCCCCAAAACTTATTACACAAGTTTAACCATAAGGAAAATATCAGACAAATCCAACTGAGGGACATTCTGAAAACATCTGTTCATTGTTCCTCAAAACTGCCAAGGTCATCAGCAACAAGGAAAGTCCCAGAAACTGTCAAAGAGACTCAGGAGACATAATCAATAAATATTTATTTCTCATGGGTGGGACCAGAGCCCTAGGAGGAAGCTTAGTAGAATAAAGGTGGCATTTCATTAATAGTAATGCAAGATGTTAATACATGAAACACTAGGTGAGGGGGTATTTGGGAATGTTCTGCCCAATCTCAGAAATGTCACCGTTAAAACTATTCTAGAATAAGTTTATTTGAAAGGAAATAAGTAAAAAGAATTTAATCTAAGACTGACAGGAAAAAAAAAATCCCTGTGTTTCAGCATGAAGTTTGAGGCACATATCTGTGGCTCCCAAGCTCTGGGACAATTTGGTCTTCTCCCTACACCTAGAGCTTTCCTGTTGTACTAACCATGACGATTTTGAACTCCTTGCTACTTGCTCAAAAGTATTTTTCTCTTAAAATCTTGATAGCCACTCTTTGTTCTTTGTTCTTTTGTCCACCCCCACATACACTTCACTGCAAACCATGTAATGACAAGCCAAGACACAGCTGACTGGTTCTGTAAGTGACTTGCTGTTTCTTTCTGTTCCTAGTATTCCGGTGTTATTTAGGTTTATTAAAGGGAACAGTTTGTCACTAAGAGCCAGGCACAGTCACATCATTACCAAGCAAAATCCCCAATTCAAAGATGGTAGCACCCAGGTGTGGCCACTGCAAGGATTGTAGTTCAATAGTTAATAATATCCCATTGGATTGCAAACTAAACCATGTAATTAATCCCCATGTTTCAAAAAAAAAAAATCTTCTAGAATCTTCCATGAAGTCTTATAGCATCAGTTACAATTTTCTACCTGTGTTCATATTTAAGTGGCGATGCTTATTGGTTTTATAAATCATTTGATTGGGGATTTTAAAATAACAAATCTGTTTTAAAAAAAAACAAATGTTATAGACTGTTAAAATTTATATTCATAAGTTCACTGTTAGAAGGTGCCCTTGGGTTGAAATTACTACTAATATGACATATATCTCCAAACTGTCTTCTATCAGCCATAGCCAATGTGGCTTCTTTTTGCAGTGGGCAATGGTTACTACAGAGATTCATACTGATCAAAATGCTGAGAATAATTGACTGTTGATTGCTCAGCCCCAAACAGGCTATCTACATCACCCACTTTAAGACCCAGAGAACATCACAGAAAAGGGAGAGGAGAGATTGTAAAGGATGGAGGATAAGGGGGAGTTCTGTGAAATGCTATCTTCTGGATATGACATGGCCAATCCAGCAATGAATACATAGCACTATGGCAACACGCACAAAAATAAGACATGAATAGGTGAAGGGCTAGTTGTGAGGAAGGAAAGTCTGTAGGAGTAGGAGAGGACAAGAGAGGGAAACAGAGTGAGTATATTGCAATACGTGTGTGTGTGTGTGTGTGTGTGTGTGTGTGTGTGTGTGTGTGTGGTGCGTGCGCGCATGTGTGTATGTGTGAAATTATCAAAGCTTAAATTAAAAGTAATTCTAAAAGAAGGTGAATTTTTTTTTTTTTTTGGTTTTTCGAGGCAGGGTTTCTTTGTGTAGCTTTGTGCCTTTCCTGGAACTCACTTGGTAGACCAGGCTGGCCTCGAACTCACAGAGATCCGCCTGCCTCTGCCTCCCAAGTGCTGGGATTAAAGGCATGCGCCACTACTGCCCGGCTAATGTTTGTTTTTTTTAATCTGCAAAACAATATGAAAATACTTCTCTCTAGTCTAATGCAACAACTAAGCACAAATTAGCAAGCCCAGATTACTGTTAAATATTTGGGTATTTTTCCAGTGAAGTCAGGCAACAATTGTTTCTTTACTTTTTTTTTTTTTTAACTAAAATGTTCCTCTCATGTTTTCTTCTGTGGTTTAAACTGGATGAAATAGAGGCAACTATCCTCTAGCAATTATAAGGCCAGAGATATTTTCTTAACAATATTCCTCCTATTATTCCTAGACAATCGTCAGAGGAAATAAATCCTGCAAGGAAACCTCTATTAATGGCCTACTAGAGGATTTCGACAACATCTCTGTGACTCGCTCCAATTCCCTAAGGAAAGAAAGCCCACCCACCCCAGATCAAGGAGCCACTAGCCGTGTTCAAGGCCATTCAGAAGAAAATGGCTTCATCACCTTCTCACAATATTCCAGTGAATCCGATACTACTGCTGACTATACAACTGAAAAGTACAGAGAACGGAGTCTCTATGGAGACGACCTGGATCTGTACTATAAAGGCAGCCATGCGGCCAAGCAAAATGGGCATGTCATGAAGATGAAACATGGAGACGCTTACTATCCTGAGATGAAGCCTTTGAAAACTGACCTGGCCAGGTTTCCTGTCGACTATCACACACACTTGGACTCACTGAGCAAACCGAGTGAATATGGTGACCTTAAGTGGGGTTACCAGCGAGCCTCTAGTAGCTCCCCTCTGGATTACTCATTCCAACTCACGCCTTCTAGAACTGCAGGGACCAGCAGGTGCTCCAAGGAGAGTCTGGCATACAGTGAAAGTGATTGGGGACCCAGCCTTGATGACTATGACAGGAGGCCAAAGTCATCATACCTGCATCAGACAAGCCCTCAGCCAGCCATGCGACAGAGATCCAAGTCAGGCTCAGGGCTTCAGGAACCCATGATGCCATTTGGAGCAAGTGCATTTAAAACCCATCCTCAAGGACACTCATACAACTCCTACACCTACCCTCGCTTGTCCGAGCCCACAATGTGCATTCCAAAGGTAAGGTCCACTACCTCTTCTCCACAAGTGACTGATCATGCTGAGGAAGTTCTAATTGGCCAGTCTGGAGAGTTTACTGCTTTTGCAGTGAGAATCAGTTTCCAAATCCTACCTTATTTTCCCATGAGTCCCATAATCAAAGGCTTTGCAACAAGGCCCATATGTCATTATAGTCAAAATTTATCTTTTGATATCTACTACAGGATTTCTGATTAAAACATAGGAAATTTGTATTAATTGAACAACTTTCTGATTTACTAACAATATGCAATCTGATCACATTTACTAAGTTCTATGTTGAGGGGTAAACAATTGTAGGTCCTTACAGGGAATAAAATAATAGACCCAATTCTTTAAAGTTCATGTGGATATATATATATATAAAAAAGAAAAAAATATTCAATTCAAGGGACAGTTTTTTTTATGAGTGTGCTCTTTTACTCATTTTTTTTGAATTCTTAATAATACTTTTTATATCAACATTTTCAGTAATATATAGCATCTAATTCCTGGACTACTATGTATATGTTTTTTTTTCATAGTGCTAGGAGTCTGTCATAGAATTGTAGGTGTGCTAGGCACACACTCCATCAGTGAGCCATCCTATGCCCCAAAGTATACTCTTTTAAATAAGGCTGGTATAAATTTGCTTTGAAAATCAACAGGTCCACCATATCCCACACTTGGAAGAAGACTGTGGGAGAAGTACTGATCCGTGGTTAAAAGTACACCATTCCATGAGCATGTAAGCCACTTAGCAATAGCCCAGAGATTTGTTGGCTTGTCCATGGTAACATACAAATGACTTGGTACCCTACCTATACAACTGAAGCAGAAAAGAAGGATTTGAAGGTGCATTCTGGATCCCCTTGAGTCTCAAGTCAGTCTGAGTGGGGCCACGAGAACTACCAGGAACATCACCTACATTTGTACCAATGCTTTCTCCTCAGCAGATTGTCTATTAACACAAGTAACCCTTCAGGGCCAGCCTGCCTGCAGGCATCTGCTTTATCAACTGTCGTCAAATTTTTCCTTTGTTTCTTATCTAAGATGTTAAAGAGAAGTTATTTGGGCAAACAGGAAATGACTTAAGCTACACCTTTTTATTTTATTTTATTTTATTTTATAATTAATTTAATTTTCCATATCAGCCACAGATTCCCCTGTCCTTCCTCCTCCACCCCCAGCCTTCCCCCCCCAATTCACCCTCCCCCATTCCCACCTCTTCCAAAGCAAGGTATCCCCTGGGGAGTCAGTCCAGCCTGGTAAATTCAGCTGAGGCAGGTCCAGTCCCCTCCTCCCTACACCAAAGCTGAGAAAAATGTCTCAGCATGGGCCCTAGGTTCCAAGAAGCTAGATCATGCACTAAGGACAGGTCCCGGTTCCACTGCCTAGGGGCCTCCTAGATAGTTCAAGCTAATCGACTGTCTCACTTATCCAGAGGGCCTGATCCAGTTCCATGGGGGCTCTTCAGCTATTGGTTCATAGTTCATGTGTTTCCATTAATTTGGTTATTTGTCCCTATGCTTCCTCCAACCATGATCTTGATATCTCTTGCTCATATAATACCTCCTCTCTCTTGCTGATTGGACTCCTGGAGCTCCAACTGGGGCTTGGCCGTGGATCTCTCTGCATCTGCTTCCATCAGTCACTGGATGAGAGTTCTATCATGACAGTTAGGATACTCGGCCATCGGATCACCAGAGTAGGTCAGCTCAGGCTTTCTCTCGACCATTGCCAGTAGTCGATATTGGAGTTATCTTTGTAAATTTCTGGGGACCTCTCTAGCACTCTGCTTCTTCCTATTCCCATGGGGTCTTCATTTATCATAGTATCTCTTTCCTTGTTCTCCCACTCTGTTCCTGATCCAGCTAGAACCTCCTGCTCCCCTAAGCTCTCTTTCCCCCAACCCTTGCTGTCCATTACCCCCCCCCAAGTCCAGTTTGCTCATGTAGATCTCATCCATTTCTCTGTCATTGGGTGATCCCTGTGTCTTTCTTAGGGTCCTCTTTACTAGGTAGCCTCCCTGGAGTTGTAAGTTGCAGTCTGGTTATCCTTTGCTTTACATCTAGTATCCACTTCTGAGTGAGTACATACCATGTTTGTCTTTCTGAGTCTGGGTTACCTCACTCAGGATGATTTTTTCTAGTTCCATCCATTTGCCTGCAAACCTCATGATGTCAGTTTTTTTCTCTGCTGAGTAGTACTCCATTGTGTATATGTACCACATTTTATTTATCCATTCTTCAGTTGAAGGGCATCTAGGTTGTTTCCAGGTTCTGGCTATTACAAATAATGCTGCTATGAACATAACTGACAGTTACTCTGAACCTGATAGAAGAGAAAGTAGGAAGTACTCTTGAACGCATTGGCACCAGAGATCACTTCCTAAATATAACACCAGTAGCACAGACACTGAGAGAAACAATTAATAAATGGACCTCTTAAAACTGGGAAGCTTTTGTAGGGCAAAGGACATGGTCAACAAGACAAAACAACAGCCTACAGAATGGGAAAAGATCTTCACCAACCCCACATCTGACAGAGGGATGATATCCAGAATATAAAAAGAACTCAAGAAATTAGACATCAAAATAACCAACAGTCCAATTAAAAAAATGGGCTATAGAACTAAACAGAGAATTATCAACAAAAGAAGCTCAAATGGCTGAAAGACATTTAAAGAATTGCTCAACATCCTTAATCATCAGGGAAATGCAAATCAAAATGACTCTGAGATACCTACCATCTTACACCTGTCAGAATGCCTAAGATAAAAAACACTGAAGACAGCTTATGCTGGAGAGGATATGGAGCAAGGGGAACACTCCTACACTGTTGGTGGGAATGCAAACTTGTACAACCACTTTGGAAATCAATATGGCGATTTTTTAGAACATTGGAATCAATCTCCCTCAAGACCCAGCTATACCACTCAGGCATATACCCAACGAATGCTCAATTATACCACAAGCTACACCTTAGAAGAAGTAAAGGACCTGTTATTTTAGTTCCCAAGATAAGAAATTAGAAGTGCATCCTGAGAAAATAAGGCATGAAATAGATACCTCCAGTTAAAATTTAAATGAGCATAATGTTTTTAGTTTCACCATGTTAAATGTATTTGAATGACCATCGTTAGGGTATAACAAACACTTTTACTTCATTCTTCCCACAGCAGTTGCTGGAACTAGGTCTTTAAAGCCAATAGCCAACAGCCAAACCCACATAGCACCTATACATGTATCCTGATACTGGACATAATGAGCACAACTCTAGCACAGACCAATTTCTAAGAGTACAATGAAGAGAGAGCCCCTTCACAGTTCTAGAACCAAATAAGGAAGTCAATATGTTGCATTTCTGAGTCAAGTCACATGCTTAGAATTCAGTTAAAGAATGTGCTGGACATGGAGCACACTCCTATAATCTCAGTACTCAGCAAGCTGTAGCAGAAAGATCACAAGATCAAGACCAGCCCAGGCAACAGAACAAGTCTCAAGGCCTAGTGACCATCTCAAAATAAAGGGCTAGGATGTGGCTGAGTAGTAGAGTGCATGAATTCCAGGCAGGACCCTGGATTCAGTCCCCAACACTACCAAGCCAATTTGTGTGTTTGTGGTACATTTAAACAAACATGGAAGAGCTGGTTTGGGTCATCATCCTTGAGAAAACACTGTTGAAACACAGCACCTTCCAGCTCTGGGGCCATTTTTGACCCATTGACATAGCTAATCCTTTTTTACTTATAAGTCTTGAATTATGAGACTGCAAGCCTCTTTTGAAAATTGACATGTTGGCTTGGTATCCCCAGACCCACCTTTTCACTGAGGATTCAAAATAAATTGGCTGGAGATATAAAGCCTGTCCCCAGTAGAAGGGACACAGACTCTGCAGTTTGGTTCAGGTCCTGTCTAGTCCACTTCACTCATCCCTACTGGCCTTTGGGATTTAGCATGACCAGTAGCAAGCTTTGCCCACTCATTTCCCAGAAGAGAGCCCTGTTGTTTAGAGAATCATATGACACATATATAATTTCAATTAGCTGTCTACATACGAGGTCTAGACTCAAGCCTGGCATTTCTCCACTCTAGCTCTTTCCCATTGTGCAGGCCTGTGTTATTTCGGGGGTCCAGCTAAATATTCAGATAAAATCCATGATAAATTTCAGGGCTCTCCAGAACTTAATACTAAGAGGAAAGAGGCAGAGCCAATAATGGGTATTTGCTTCATTCCTGCAGACTTCCAAATATAAATCAAAACAGACCTCCTGCCCTCAAGTCCAGCTTTTCTAAAGGCCAAACACAGTGCATCAGCAACTGTGGCTCAGGAAAATTATGAACATATTCACACATGAGCCTGTCTGCCATGAGGTTTTCAGCATTGCTAATCAAGGGTTCCAAAGGAGTAAGCTGCTGCTGCTCCTGTATCCCCCCCAAAACCCATGAGAATTGATGAGCAGGTTTTGTGGGAGGGCAGGAGGCGGGAAGCATGTTGGTAATTAAAACACTTACTTGATTAAAAATATAACATCTCTCTAAAAACAGTTCGATGCCTCTGTCTTTAGAGCTGCACTCTGCAAAATCAACCAATTGCATTTGGATTTCCAGCTGAGGCAAGAAATAGTTATCACGACTCAGATAATTTGGCTTTGTCTCACGACAGTTTCTAGAGGAGGGTGGGTGATGTTCACATAGTAAGAAAAAGCACAAATCCCATGCAGCAAAAATAAGGAGGGTTATGTATGTGTATTGTGACACCAGTTTGATATCTTGTTCTTTAACATTTTTATTTTAATTCTAATTCCCAGTGAAGAATAGTGTAGAGTAACAACAACAACAACCACAAAAATCCCCACCTCACTTTTCTTGTTAGCATGACAAGAATAGGAATTGTCATAAAATCCATTGATACTAACATTTATTCTCTACTTTTAAATCTTGTTTACTGAAGCTAAGCAGATGAAACCTCGAGGTGGGGAAAAAAAAGACAAAGTGTAG